GACCCTTGCTTTCCCCACACCTGGTCCTTCCTTCTTAACCAAAGCCAGAAGCTTCCCTGCTCAGCCTCCTCGGCCAGGTCTTTCAGAGCCTTTCTGAGTTTGGGGCCTGTGACTCCCATGTTCTTCAGGAAGCGCTGGGTGGATGCTCCCACAAACCCCCTACAGCCGACTTCCACCGGGTAGCTGACAGCTGCCCACCCAGCCTCTCTGCATTCGGCTGTGAGGTCGAGGTACCGGTCTTTTTTCCTCTCAAAGGCTGCCCCCATTCCTCCCTCCCACGGGACAGTGAGCTCTGCCAAGATTACTGTCGTCTGGGCTGTGGCAGACCAGAGAATGATGTCCGGTCGAAGGTTGGTTGTGGTGATCTCTGTTGGAAACCTGAGCTGCCGATCGAGGTCCACTCTCAGGATCCACTCAAACTGCCTAGACAGGGCTGGATCTTGTGGGCTGCGTTGATGTATAGGGGCCCCTCCTCCCTCTCTGACGAAATGGATTGGCCGCCTTGATGTCTGTGATAGGCGCTCCCTGGCTGTTTCCGCCCTGCGCACCTCCAGGATCTCCGCCAGCTTCCGCAGGACTCGGTCATGGCGCCACCTGTACCGACCCTGGGTCAGTGCTGTTTTGCAGCTTGACAGGATGTGCTGCAGGCTCGGATTTGGGGCATTGCAGAGTTGGCAGCTCTCCTCTGAGCCATACCACAGACAGAGGTTGCTGGGGCTTGGGAGTGTTTTTTTTTTTGGTGTTCTGCACAGATGGGTCTGACGAGTCCCTCAGCTCTAGGACAAGCCTTGCCTTCTCCTGTCTGTATCCCGACTTCAGTGGCAGTTGAAGTGCATTCCTCCCAAACAGGCCAACGCTGGAGAGGCTCCGGGGTAACCCCAGGCACTTACTGATGTAATTGTTGGCTTTTGAGTCCATCTTCTGCACAGTGAAGGTGGTGATCTCACACATCTTGAGAGGCCACATTAGCCGCCTATATAAGGTGAATTGGTAGCACCAGATCTTGAATTTGCCCGGAAGATGGCTCTTGTCAATCCACGTCAGACCTTCGGTGAGTTGTAACATTAGTGTATTGGCCATTATGCTTATCTGACAAGTCGGCTGTATACAGTTTCCCAAGGCTCCGTACGGGTTGTTCTGCCAGTGTCGGGATCTTCTCACTGTTCACTGTGAAAGAGATGTGATCATTTCTGGCTCCTTTGCGTATGGAGAGGCTCCGGGACTTTTTATCCTCATCCTGGCCCAACTAAGGAGTTCTTCAAACCTCTTCATTAGCCGGATTTGGTAAGGCTGCTGTTTTTTGAAAGAAGGGTGGATTTAATCAATCCATGGGGCAATAACTTCAGCAGGGGCTGAGGCGTCATTTTTGGCCTGACTGTCCTTTCACCCCTCGGACCATCTGTCTCCCACCGATGAGAATGATTTCAAAGGCTGCAGTGAAGAGGATGGGAGAGACTGAGCAACCCATTGCGATGCCTTTCTCTAGGTGGTGCCAGCCTGTCGTTGCATCCTGGGTTGTGTAGCACACAGTGAAGCTGTTGAAGTAATTGGAAATGAGGTTCCGAATGCTTGGTGGTATGTGAAAGAATTCCAGGGCAAAGGTGATTAACTGATGAGGAACGGAACCATAGGCATTCTTCAGATCCAGCCAAACTACATGGAGGTCTTGTTTGTCCCGCTTGGCTGTCTGAATCTGCTCCCAGATCATGGTTAAGTGTTCCACACAACCGGGGAACCCTGGGACGCCTGCCTTCTGGCAACTGGTGTCAGTGTAACAGTTGTTTAGGAGGTAGTTGGTTAAATGCTTGGCCACTACAGAAAAGAATATTTTCCCTTCCTGTCTACCACTAGCTTGACTTCAGTCCACTTGGGGGGTGTCGTGTTAAATTCGACGGCTGGCTCAGCAGGACGAGGAACATGCCCTGGCGACCCAAGCGGGATGTTCTTTTTTTGGTCGGTTAGCTGGTTCTTGATGTTTTCCTCAAGCTCCTGCTCGGTGGCTTCCAGTCTCCCGCACTTCTTCTCTTCCAACAGGCTTCGGGCATATCTGAAAGGATCCCGAAAGAAACTCACTCGCTCCTTCTCTTTCTTGTTTCTTCGCTTCCGGATCCGCTCTGCCCTTCTCAGGGTTGCAAGCCTGCTTCTGATCTGGTCCCAGAGCACTTTCAGACCCTCCTTTTCATTCTCATCTGCTTTTCGACAGGACCTCTTAAGCAGCCTCCTCTCCTTCACAAGCTTGTAAATCTCTTGCTCACGCCTTCCCACCTCCCTAGGGATGTTCTTCCTCTGGATTACCTCACCAAACGTCTCCTTGCCCTCCCCATAAACAATGCTGCCAAAGAGGTTTAGCTTGGTGATTGTGCTGCCTCGTAGCGAATTCTCAAGGATGGAGTGCAGATCTTGGTCGAAACTTTCCCAGGCGGCTTTTTCGATGGATTTAGGCCATTTGACTTTGGTTTGTCTGGTTGGTCTCTCCCTTGCTTGTCTTGTGGGGTTGCTGCTGGGTGTCTCTGTGTGACACTCACGCTCTGGGCTGTGCGCTTGTTGTTGACTTTGGGCCTGCTGCTGGTACGGCTGCTCCACCTCCCTGTGACCATCCGCAACGGTGAAATCAGCAACGCTGTGGTGCTCAAACTGGCTCTGACTTCTCCTTGTCTGACCTGCTTGCGCAGTGCAAGTTTGCCCCTGGTCCTTCCCTCCGCATTTAGCCTTCCCTTGGTGTATTCGCAGGCCCCTGTAAGTTGTCATGTTCGACCACCTGCAGCTGCAGCTCCTCAGGATCCTTTGCTCGTTAGTCGTTTCCATGCCGGTCGGTTCCGTGTTATCCATCCTATTTGGTCCATCTTCCATCCCGCCTCTCGGTGGACCTTCGGGCTGTCTTTCATTATTTGTGCTCGTAGTTAGTTAGGGTGTCCCCAATATGAGGACCTGTGGAGAGGGTAACTAGCCCATCCACCCCTGGTGCAGTCTTTCCTGCCGTCAGTCGGTCTTTCCCGGCTGTCCTCCAGTCTTTCCTGGACGCCAACTGCCCTATTCACAGTAGTCACTGGTGTTCCAGACATTGTAGATGGTAGCACAGGCAAGTGACTGCCTGCCTATTAAATAATAATAAAAAAACAAACAACAAAGCTGGTTAGAGATTGTGCAGTGTGAGTGTGTACCTGGCAGTAAGGGAGCATATGTGTCTATTCTGTGTAGAGATGAGAGGAGCATCTGGAAGTTTCTGTATCCACAGCCCCAGCCTTTATCCCCCGCTGAGGAGCAATAGTGGTCAGTGTCAGCACTCAGCCACACATAGACGCAGTCTCTGCATTCAGTCTGGTAGTAGTCATATAAGGCTCTGATCACACCTGGACAGACAACAGAGTGCATTAAACAAGGTAAGCTCAGTCTTACTAAAGGGTTAACAGATCCTCCTAATTGTTACACACTGGACCTTAAATAGGTCTCAGGTCAGACATTTTTCTGGAGTTTTTTCTTGACCCTTACTCACCAGACCATATCATTTACCAGGCTTCACACAGCTTATCCTACCAACAGTGAACTTTTAAACAAAATAAGCACCCTGGTTTACACAGGTGATTAAGGGGCTAAAATAGATTTTTTACAGAACAGAGACAGTGGATGTATCTCAGCAGGCTATCCCCACATCTAGACAATACCAGATTAACTAAAAGAACATTTTGGGAATGTTGGGGGAATGTTGGAGAACTGGTTCAGGATAAAGACTGAAACAGGGAGTTGACAAAAGGTGGGCTCTTTTTATGTGAAGATGAAACCATATTATCATCACTATCTTGCTGTTGTGTATACGTCTATGTATATATGTATATATATATATATAACTATATATTTATTTAATGTTATTATATCATAAAAGTAATGATCTTTGTCTATGTGTGTAGCATGAAGGAACTGCAAACTTTTACTTTATATAGATGTCCTTGATCCCTGACCCTTAAACTACTGCTAAACATTCCACATGATCTGCTTGTGGTGTAGTGGTATAATTTTTAATCATCTGCTCCCACTTATACATGTAATGAGGAACTGTTGGGTCTCTGCACCGCAATAATGTATACAGGAGGGCGGTCCTAACCTGCGCTCTATTTAAAACTGTCCTGAGAGTGAATCTGACGCTATATTACCAAATACCAAACCATGTTTACTAACAAAAAAAAAATCGAATTGAACTGAATAGAATATTAGAGTTAGCATAAAAAATGGGGGCACTTTAGAGATTTTAGAGATTAATATAATGGATGACTAGTTGCACCTTAATGAAACTTCTTTTTGTGTGAGTTGTGGTTGCAGGAGATGCACAAACATACCATGAGTTCTGGTTCTGCCATCATCAACCCCTGAGGCCAGAGACTCCATCATCTCAGCTCTTTTAAAGTGGAACTCTGCAGGGGCCATGAGGCCTCTGGCCACAGCTCTCCCCATAGTTCTCTCCATCTGCCTGCAGTAGCCCCCTCTGCCATCCAGACCAAACTGCCTCTGCACAGACAACACCGCACACAGGTCAGGCTGAGACTGTGAAAGACTGAAAGTGCTCCGATACACAAACATCCTCCTGCATCACATGTACACAGAAAGAGACCACAAGTTCAGATCAGGAGAGTTTTTTTTACCTCACCTGTTTTTCAATATTTGTAATTTTTACTTGTCTTGTTACCTCAGCCTTTTTTTAATGTCAATAAATGTTATTTTTTAAAAATTGAGACTCGTGGGAGCATTTGTTATCATCATTGTGTCATTTCGCTATGATGTTTAAATTGAGGGAGCAAGAAGTGCAGTATCGACTCCAGAGTATCGGCTCAATCCGCAAGAATCGGCGTCACGTATCGGTATTCGGCTAAGGGCTGGTGAAAAGGAAATGACACCGACGTGAGGGTGGTGTATGGCAAGCAACACAGTGGAGCGGAGCTGTACGGAGGTAGAGAGAATGTTT